AAATTGTTTTTTTCCCCCACCTTGATCCACTTGTGTTGTCCTCAGTCAAAAATGGCCAATTTACAAAAAGTTGCTTATAAATGTATTGTTATGTTGAATTATTACCAAATCTTTCATTCAATCTTTTAATCTACTTGTTTTCGTTCAATTAGCACAGGTTGTGTATTATTATTATTATTATTATTATTATTATTATTATTATTATTATTATCATAATTATTATTATCATAATTAGTATTATTTTATATGGAGAATGATTGATCGTAGGCCTCATTGCTCTGAATTATGCATCTCAGTTTTAGAGTGAATATTGCCAAAAATATCCACAAATAATGTTTTTTTTTAGTTAAAAAAAGAAATACAAAACCAGTGCTAACTGAAAGAAAACAAACTGACAAAAAGACCGAATCCAAGATTTGGTAATAATATAGCATAACGGGAAATTATTGCAATTTTTAAAAGGCTGGTCATTTTTGAACACCAAATTAGGTAAAGGATTTTCAGCGCAGCACAAGCAATATAATTGCTTGGGAAAAGAGCAGCAAACACATTTTTCAAAATGTATCCTTTTGCAATCCTTGTAGGACAGAAAGCCCTATGGGTTTAGGACAACATCATTTGCTCAAGATTGCAATTTCCTTTTGAGCAGCTATTTAAGTGCAACAGAAAACAAATTCATTTGCATATTGAAGTTTATAAGTGCATTTACATTTATGCATTTAGCAGACTCTTTTATTGACTTATCAATAATGCTTGCCTTATATAATGCCACGTTCTGTTCTGTTCATTGTTTTGTATAATACTATTCCCATATTCTCAATAATAACCTTTTGTGTAAATTGTAAAGGAAGGCTTCAGTGGGCATACAGACTGAGAAATATACAGAATAACCCTGTAATTTTCATCCAGACGGGCCGCAGCTCTCCAAACGCATGAACATCTCTTTCCTTCAGAACAACAGCGGCTCAGTTTGTTGCGGGCCGTTTATTGATCGTGAAAGGGCATCAATAGTTTAAACATCAAACCTATTTCTCCTCAGAAAAACATACTCTGTACCCGAGCTTTGGTTTCTGAACACAGCGCTAGGAATCTATTCTTAACGCGGGATCAGGTCGGGTATCGATCCATCACTGTTATTAATAAGTCAAACTCTGCGCCGGAGCACGAAACAAAAATAATCAAACTCTCTGCGCTTCTCGGCTCTCAGTGGAAATGCACTGCTCTTCCCGTCCACAACGACTGTATCTTCTGTGCACATCATCTACTGACAAGCGAAAGCAAATCATCAAATTCTTAGCATCAGGAATAATAGACCAAAGCTTTTCTGATTGGTATGTACGAGATGTTTTCTGACAAACATAGCACGTACAAAGTATCAATAAAAAGTTCATATTTGTGCAATGTAGTCTGAAGCTCTAGTCTGAAAACACATCACTGAGTCAAAAAGACGAAGCGTCTGGAGCAGCGGCCATGATCTCTGACATCTGAACACACTCGCCTCACACATCACATTCAACACACACTTCATCAAGTCTGACGGGTCAAGACAGCTGTTGCTCAACAATCGTCAAGTGCATGCTGGGAAGGCTGACGGTCACATGACCTGACAGGGTGCAGAAGCAGCAGCAGAGCTCAAGCAAAGAGCTGCAGGCGACTGCTGATCTGAGAGCAGCTGTGCTTCTCAAGCCTGCATTTCTGTACAACACTGAATTAATTCTAACCTACAGCTTAGAATGTGACCTAAAACTAGTTTATTCAAAAGATAATAAGCACAGATGCTCTCGTTGATGCAAAAACACAGAGTTATGGGTAATAATGAGGCAGTGAACAAAATTAGATCTTCACCTAATATTAAAATGTGTAGTTGACCGATAATTTGCCTTTGAAACTGTGAAAAAGAAGTGCGCTTAATTGTGTTGAATGTGTACTTCAAATCTTAAGTGTATTTTAATAAACTGTACTTGCAGATAATATAATGATAATGAAATAAAGGCCACTTAAGTGACTTAAAGAGAGACACATTCATGACTTTCACTTAAGTACACTTTTAAAAAGTGACCTTTGTAATAATGTCAAAGTTTTACTTTAAAGTACATTGCATCATTGTTTTAATAATATGTTGTTGTGCTTTAAATAAGCACACATATTGTGTTGTGTTGATTAACATGCTAAAGCACTTTTAACTCATGCAATATTATGTTTAAAGTTAATAGATTTTAAAAGAACAAAACTGAAAGTATATTTAAATGAATATATTTAAATGCATGATATACAATTTCAATATAATTAACATTAAGCCACTTAAGTGACTTAAAGAGAGACACTTTCATGACTTTCACTTAAGTACACTTTTAAAAAGTGACCTTTGTAATAATGTCAAATTTTTACTTTAAAGTACATTATATCATTGTTTTAATAATCTTTTGTTGTGCTTTAAATAAGCACACTTATTGTGTTGTGTTGATTAACATGCTAAAGCACTTTTAACTCGTGCAATATTACGTTTAAAGTTAATAGACTTTAAAAGAACAAAATTGAAACTATATTTAAATGAATATATTTAAATGCATGATATACAATTTCAATAGAATTAACATTAAGCCACTTAAGTGACTTAAAGAGAGACACTTTCATGACTTTCACTTAAGTACACTTTTAAAAAGTGACCTTTGTAATAATGTCAAATTTTTACTTTAAAGTACATTATATCATTGTTTTAATAATCTTTTGTTGTGCTTTAAATAAGCACACTTATTGTGTTGTGTTGATTAACATGCTAAAGCACTTTTAACTCGTGCAATATTACGTTTAAAGTTAATAGATTTTAAAAGAACACAATTTAAACTATATTTAAATGAATATATTTAAATGCATGATATACAATTTCAATAGAATTAACATTAAAAGTATAATGTACTTTAAAGTAAAAATTTGACATTATTACAAACGTCACTTTTTAAAAGTGTACTTAAGTGAAAGTCATGAAAGTGTCTCTCTTTAAGTCACTTAAGTGGCTTAATGTTAATTATATTGAAATTGTATATCATGCATTTAAATATATTCATTTAAATATAGTTTCAGTTTTGTTCTTTTAAAATCTATTAACTTTAAACATAATATTGCATGAGTTAAAAGTGCTTTAGCATGTTAATCAACACAACACAATATGTGTGCTTATTTAAAGCACAACAACATATTATTAAAACAATGATGCAATGTACTTTAAAGTAAAACTTTGACATTATTACAAAGGTCACTTTTTAAAAGTGTACTTAAGTGAAAGTCATGAATGTGTCTCTCTTTAAGTCACTTAAGTGGCCTTTATTTCATTATCATTATATTATCTGCAAGTACAGTTTATTAAAATACACTTAAGATTTGAAGTACACATTCAACACAATTAAGCGCACTTCTTTTTCACAGTTTCAAAGGCAAATTATCGGTCAACTACACATTTTAATATTAGGTGAAGATCTAATTTTGTTCACTGCCTCATTATTACCCATAACTCTGTGTTTTTGCATCAACGAGAGCATCTGTGCTTATTATCTTTTGAATAAACTAGTTTTAGGTCACATTCTAAGCTGTAGGTTAGAATTAATTCAGTGTTGTACAGAAATGCAGGCTTGAGAAGCACAGCTGCTCTCAGATCAGCAGTCGCCTGCAGCTCTTTGCTTGAGCTCTGCTGCTGCTTCTGCACCCTGTCAGGTCATGTGACCGTCAGCCTTCCCAGCATGCACTTGACGATTGTTGAGCAACAGCTGTCTTGACCCGTCAGACTTGATGAAGTGTGTGTTGAATGTGATGTGTGAGGCGAGTGTGTTCAGATGTCAGAGATCATGGCCGCTGCTCCAGACGCTTCGTCTTTTTGACTCAGTGATGTGTTTTCAGACTAGAGCTTCAGACTACATTGCACAAATATGAACTTTTTATTGATACTTTGTACGTGCTATGTTTGTCAGAAAACATCTCGTACATACCAATCAGAAAAGCTTTGGTCTATTATTCCTGATGCTAAGAATTTGATGATTTGCTTTCGCTTGTCAGTAGATGATGTGCACAGAAGATACAGTCGTTGTGGACGGGAAGAGCAGTGCATTTCCACTGAGAGCCGAGAAGCGCAGAGAGTTTGATTATTTTTGTTTCGTGCTCCGGCGCAGAGTTTGACTTATTAATAACAGTGATGGATCGATACCCGACCTGACAATAGGTGTGCTTATTTAAAGCACAACAAAAGATTATTAAAACAATGACATTGCGTCTGAGAGTAACGCAATTTCAATTCTCTGTGTGATATCAATGACTTGATCAATGACTTGATATCATTGTTTTAATAATATTTTGTTGTGCTTTAAATAAGCACACCTATTGTGTTGTGTTGATTAACATGCTAAAGCACTTTTAACTCGTGCAATATTACGTTTAAAGTTAATAGATTTTAAAAGAACAAAACTGAAACTATATTTAAATGAATATATTTAAATGCATGATATACAATTTCAATAGAATTAACATTAAAGCACATTTTAGTTGATCATAAATGCGTGTCAGTACATTAACCATATTTCAAATACAATAGTAATTATGAAATTACATATAAAGATGTACTTAAGTCCTACTTGAGTGGGTCAAAAGCACTCAGCTAATTGCATTTTACATAAAATTAAACTATAATACATTTTAATTTAATTGCAATTAACAGTTCACACTTAAGTATGTTCTTTTAAAGCATATTATTTCCACAATGAAAGCATGCTTAAGTGCACTTCTTTTCACAAGCGTGTTTCTGTGACCGTAAGGCTGCGTTCGCTCACGGAAGCGTTTAAGAGCGAGTGGATTATTATGGGTAATTTGCAAAGGTGGAGGTTAAATTTGCTCAAGGCCTCAAATGACAACAACAGGACCTCACAAAAACACAAGGAACATGAGCTGGGGTGCGAATGAAGAGAAAAGCATGAGACGTGAGGATGAATGCGGCGTAAATATAAAGAGGAAAATACCTGGACAAAATATCGACACGAACGCTCCCTTTTCTGCAGCTGAAAACCCAAAGAAAACCAACCGTGTTAGTATCAAGCAGAAAATTCGACACTCTCGAGGTCTTTCACATCGAACACAATGAAGCGTCTATTCAAGCAAATAATCGAACTGAACAAAAGCAGTAGTTGGTGCAAGGCTAATGCACCTTCAGTCCTGTATCTATAATTCAATGTTTTATTTAATTATTGCACAGAATACAGACTCTGTGTTGATGTGCCAGTGAATCTACAAAGCGAACGCTGGTCTCCGTTCTGAAGAGCTCCACAGGAATCCATAGCTTCTATTGAAAACTGGAAGGACATTAAATGTTAAAAGCAACCATCAAACAACAAAATGCAGGTAAAAATGAACACAGAAAAGTACATTGGGTGGTCTTTTCACAGACATTTCTGTGTCGAGTCGAGGAGTTTCTGAGCTGGATACTGCTGGTTTGTTAGATCAATGGTTGGTTAAAGTCGACACCAAATGACGTTTGCAACACTTCTTACTTCCATACACTCTCAGGAAATCAGGTACAAAAGCTGTCACTGCAGCGGCACCCATTCAAAAGTACACATTTGTACCTTACTTACCTCTAAAGGATGCATATTAGTACCTGAAGTGTACATAATAGTACTTCGATAGTACATACTGGTTCCTTTTGAAAAGGTGCCGTCCTAGTTTTTCTTTTTCTTTTTTTTTTCTGAGAATGGCATTTCAGAGGGATTTAGTTTTGCATTCTGGTCATTTAGTTCACAATTCTGTTTTTTATAATGGTTTCTACAGTATTTATGCAACTTCACAGTCGACAGATCAGGTACTGATTGAGTTTTTATGATGTCAAAAAGGTTTAATTTTAGTTTTCAAATAATATTGTTTGTGGCTTTAATGGTCATAGTGAAAGATACTATGGATCATTTACCTCAGAGCTTGAAAATAAATGGAAAAGGAAGAACGTTCAAATTGAGTTGAGTCATCGAGTATGGGTTTTGAATAATAATAATAATATCTATTAATTTTTATGAATTTGATTATGTACTGGTTGTGATTTGTGAGTGATTTTATCACGTTATCACGTTGTGTACAGAATCTTATCATATCGCATCTGGTTATGACAGTGTTACTGTTTTTATTGTTTTTTTGCTGTTTTTGTAATTTCTTAGGATTCTATTATTTTCTATCTTTCTCTTTGTTTTCAAGTTCAAAAATAAAGTGGTTATGTAACATACATTTCTGTTCAGAAGTTTGGGGTCAGAAAGAATTTATTCATTTTTTTTTATTTTATGCAGCAACTTTTGAACTTTCCATTCATCTGTGAATCCTGAAAAATAAAATGTATCACGGTTTCCACAAACAATATTCATCAGCACAACTGTTTTCAACATTGATAATAATCAGATATGTAGCAAATCAGTATATTAGAATGATTTCTGAAGGATCATGTGACACTGAAGACTGGAGTAATGATGCTGAAAATTCAGCTTTGATCACAAAAATAAATTACATTTTAACAGATATTCACATAGAAACTTGCTATTTTAAATTGTAATAATATTTTAAAATTTTACTATTTTTACTGTATTTTTGATCAAATAAATGCAGCCTTGGTGAGCAGAAGTGCGAGGGAAGGGAACAGATAAAAATAAATAGCATGCAGGTCTGTCTCTGCTGGTGCCTGAATGTTAATGTGGCTTGATTCCGGCTGACAGCAGCCATCTTTAGATCACATTACTTTCACTCTTTAGCGGCTCTTCAGGTAAACTATCTTGATCTTGCAGTCAAAGGTTTTATTCGACTAGTTGAGCATGTCGAATGTGTTGCTGACTGCATCTTTACCAACAATTATGATGCTTTGGGAATCAAGCGAGTGATGTCCAGTTAGCATTTTGGAAATAAAAATGTTATATCTTTGCATTAGAACCAAATAATGAGTCAACAATTTGCTATTTTGACCATAGGCAATGGTATAATCATTGTCTATGGTCGAAATAGCAAATTGTTGACAGTTAGTGTTGGGGAAATTTACTTTTAAAAGTAATGCATTACAATATCGTGTTACTCCATAAAAAAGTAACTAATTACGTTACTTAGTTACTTTTTATGGAGAGTAATGCGTAATCTCACCAACCCCAAACTTTTGAACAGTAGTACATAAAAACATTTTTAGCCAGAATTTCCAATAAAAATATTAATTATTCACCACTGACACAATCTATTTCACTAATGCCAACACGCGCAGCCTCACCCGTGATGTTTGTACATTTAGTCAGAGCGAGGGGGTTTAATCTGGTTTAGGCGTCTCGGAGGACCGGACTTCAGTCTGACAGCTTCTGATCGTGGTTATGATTGTGTAGAAACTCTTCTCGTCACCACATGAGTAAAGAGCAGCGAGGTGGGTGTGTGTGTGAAATGTTTGTCTAGAGTAATTTGTGCTTATTAGTACGGTTGAACTGGATCATCGAAGGTCAGAAGCAAAGACATTGGTTAATAGAATGGGATTAAATACATAAAGGATATTTGTGTTGTTTAACATTTAATTATTGCAGGTTTGCGTCATATTCTGAGTTGCGTTATTTTTATTCATTTTGAGGAATACTGAATCTGTGGTTTTTTGGAGGTTTTGTGTGAGTGAGATGAATTAATGCATATTCATATTTATTTTAGAACTACAGTAACATCTTCTGATTTCTCTCAGCATGGGGACAGGAGAGTTGTCAATCAATAAATTGAAAAAAAAAGTAACTTGCGTTACTTATTTGAAAAAGTAACTCAGATATTCTCTTGTAAATTAAAAATGAATGCGTTACTTTACTAGTTACTTGAAAAAAGTAATCTGATTACGTAACTCGCATTACTTGTAACACTGCACAGCAACAGTTATATGTCATTTTGATCAGTTTTGTTATTGTTAACGAAAACTAAAATGAAAACTAAAATGTTTACGGTAACTGAATTAAAGCTGAAATGAAATAAAATAAAAATATTAGATGTAAAACATAAAAAGCAAAAGTTATAAAAGTTGCTTTAGCAACTAACTGAAATAATTAAGTAAAAGTTGAAATACAAAAATTACTAAAACTACAACTGAAATAAAAATAAATTGACTCCAAATAGAATTAAATTAAAATTAAATTAAAATGAAAACTGGAAATATAAAAATAAAAGCATATTCAAAATTGTAATACACACTATAATCATTTATAAATAATGCTAAAACAATATTGATTTCAACACTGAAAAGCTATTAGGATGTAATTAAAATTTGCATGTAATGAATATTTGCATGCAATTAAAACTTAAACTTAATCAAAAATTAGAAATGTTGCCTTAGTAACTAAACAAAATAAGTTGAAGTTGAAGTAAATTACTAAAAAATTAACTGAAATAAAAATAAATTAACACTAAATAGAAATGTTAAAAAACTAATACAAATTACAACTAAAATTAAAACTTTAAAACGAAAATGAAAACACAACATATAAAAATACAAGCCAATTCAAGATATTAATTCATACTTACTGTATATAAATAATAAATAATACTATAAGTATATAAATAATAAATATAATAAGTATATAATAGAAGTATATAAATAATACTAAAATAATAGATTAGTTGCATGAAGTTGCATGTGCAAAAATTAAACCAAAAAAAAAAAAGAAAGAAAAATATAGATTTTGCCTTGGCAACTAAATTAAATAAATTGAAGTACTAAATTACTACAACTTAAACTGAAATAAAAATATACTAACGCTAAACAGGAAATAAAAAAAATGACAATCATATAACAAAACTACTAAAACTTTAACTAAAATTAAAATGAAACTGAAAGTATTCAAAAAGCTAATTAAAAAAAATATATTAATAAACACTATAATAGTATATAAATAATACTAAAATAACGCTGATTTCATTCCTGAAAAGGATAGATAAGAATAGTTGTTTGTAATTAAAACTGCACAGTTTCACACACTATTTGTTTGTGCTTTGTATTTTATTATTAGAGCATTATACGTCTCAGGTGTATTTTCATGATGACTATTTGGTTGCTAGAAAGAAACCAAATGTAGCACATTTCCCTCATTCATGAGGATGAGCTGAAGATGTAGACGCCTCACACAGAGCTGATCTGTTTTACATCAGTGATCCCTGTACTGAGTCTGAAGCTCGAATCACCAGCTGGGAAATTCAAAGGCAGATTGAGTTTAAAATGACCGCTTCGATTAATTAGCATGAAGAGTGTGACGGCCTCATCAGAAAGTGTGAGCGTGACGCGCGCTGATGGCTGATGACTGCGGCGGTGGAAAAGTGAAGTTTGCAGAATTGTGGGTGGAAACGAAGTGTGAATTTCGCAGAAGACGCGTGGAAACAGGTGTTTGTGCTGCACGCTCGGGCGTCCCGATCTGAAAAATGACACTCTTAAAAGCCAAGTTAATTAATTTTGAGCTCAGACAGTACAGTCACCAGAAGAACTTAGATGATGGGTTTGATTAAACTGATACATGTTTACTTTGAGCGCAGTGTAAGCCTTGGATGAAAGTGACTGCTGAACACGTACATTTTAATTAGGAACATTTTACTCCACAGAAACCAGAGGCAGTGCTGTGAATGTGTGTTGTCAGGATCCAACATTTACTTGCTAATAGTGGATGAATTGAGAGCATTTTCTGAGCAGCAATAAAACTGGACTTTGGATTGTTATTGAATGGTTTATTAAATGGCTTGAATCAATAAAATTAAATTAAATGAATAAAATAAAAATAAATAAATATACATAAAGTTGTGCACTTCGATTACACAAGCGAGTGTCATTCTATCATCATTCATCTAAAGGGTGTTTAAAATTATACTTAACAATCTTTGAAATTAAATATATGTTCAGGGTTGTCACATTTTAAATAATCGCATGATATAAAGATAAAGTAAATTAATAACATCCAGCATCCAAGATTAAAACTTGCAAAACAAGATTTGATCAATAGTTTACTTTTGTAAATGCATGAATTGAGAAAAATTGTCCAGCAATATTTATACTGTATTTTTGACCGGTAATGAATATTAGCATTTGTATTAAATTATTATTATTATTATTACTACTATTATTATTATTATGTTTGGATAACTAACTAACTAATTAACTTACTAAATATTGATATTTGAATTAATCATCTTTAAAAAAAAAAATCTTTAAATTTAAGTGATTTGCTGATTAAATAAATTAATAACATTGAGTATCCAAAATGAAAACTTGGAAGATCACCAAATGTGAAAATTACATTATTTTTATTCAATGGTTTGGATCAAAAACAAACAAATAAACAAACAACCAAAAATAATGCATAAAAAGCTATAACAAAAAATGTGGTAATTGAAACTAAGCTGAAATAAAATATTTTAAATATTTTTAAGCACATAACAAAATTACCAAGACTTAAAATTAAATTAAAATAAAACTGAAAAGGTCAAATATAAAAGCTAATTCAATATATAAATAATATCTCACTGAATTAATCAACAGCCTAAATGTTGCAGTTCCTAACAAAGTTATTGGCCAACTATTTTATTTACTCTCCAAAGCCAAGTTTTACTGGCACTCGGTTTCTTGTATTGTTCATTTTAGACCCTGTGTGTATTATTAATACACACAAACACACACACATACACTCACACACAACATCTGAATGAACTGTTTTTGTTCTCTGAGTGTCTGAAGACAAACTACACGCAGGTCTGGAGAAAACAGCGTCAAAGCGAAGCTCTTTAACTCCGCGGAAACTTTAATAACGCTGGCGATTATTCATGCCGCATAATGTCCTCAGAGCGATAGGAGTCTCAGGACGGCGAGAGTTTCTCTTCACCCAAGTTAAACCTATTTTTAAACAGACCGCTGACTGCGGGGAGAAACACATTGGATCATTCATCCTGACAAACACGGACATCATTAAAAAAACACCCACTGCTCTCCTCCTCTTGCTGCTCTCCATACCGACTGCATCAAAGAGCACGCTTTATCTGCCTCGCGCTTCCCGTCCGTTTCTCTTCTGGTGAAGTCAAACATAATAATAATAAAATAATAATAATAATAAGTAGGGCTGTCGATTTAATGCAATAATATAGTGTGATTAATTACTGAAAACCCTGCCCCACCCAAACATATTATACCCAGTCTATTATCTTACATTGATGCAGTTGCTGATGAACACGATGCAGGATGACTTACTGTGTGATGTAGCCTATGAATGCAGTTATATGCCCTGAAATTCAAGATATGAGGGCAGAAAATGCCCCTGTGTGAGTTTTTGTCTTATATTCATATCATATGATATAGTTTAGCAATATCATACGAGCAAGAGAGCTGTTTTCCCCGAATATTTGTACAATTGCAGATGTGATATTGATTTGATAGTTCAATAAACATGAAGTTAATATTGTGTTACATTTTAGACAAAGTATTGTCTGTTTTTGTGCAATCTCGCCAACGAAAATGGTTCCAAACAAAGCCATAGCAGAACCGTTGCAGGTCTCAGAGCAAAAAGCATTTTTTAACTAAATGAATCCGATGTTTTGAACAAATCAAGTGAGCGAATGATTCAATGACTCATTCATAAAGACATGCACTTGCTTCGTTTCTGACTGAATCAGCCGACTGAACAAATCGAGTGAGTCAATGATTCAATGACTCATTCATATAGGCAGTCACTTGCTTCGTTTCTGACTGAATCAGCCGACTGAACAAATCGAGTGAGTCAATGATTCAATGACTCATTCATATAGGCAGTCACTTGCTTCGTTTCTGACTGAATCAGCCGACTGAACAAATCGAGTGAGTCAATGATTCAGTGACTCATTCATATAGACAGTCACTTGCTTCGTTTCTGACTGAATCAGCTGTTTAAACAAATCGAGTGAGTCAATGATTCAGTGACTCATTCATAAAGACCGCCGCCACCTACTGGCACTTTTTAATTTCATTGACAAAAAATAATTTCATATTTTAATATTCTTTTTTTAATAAACCCATTAATACCCATTTATTATTATTTATGCAATGTTGAATCCAAACATTGTATTCTAAAGCTGCTTTTATGTAATGTCTACTAATGCTTTTCTCATCTAACACAATAACAACTTTAAATGATATTTTGGGGGGTAATTTCTCGGACCAAATTGATGTGTGATTAATGTGCGATTAGTTTGATTAATCAATCGGAACATTATTTAATTAATTAGATCAATTTTAATCTCTTGACAGCCTTAATAATAAGTGATGATTAGCTGCTCCAAACCACTGTCAGACTTATCACATGTAAACTCATGCGTCATGTGTCCACTGCAGTCCAGATACGTCAGACTGGTTTGCCTCATAAACAGCGTTTGGTTTTCTGCCTCAGGCGACACGTCCACCAACTTTTTGATGCGTATCGAATGTAAAAATGCCACAAAATCCACATGCTCCAACCTGATTGGCACAGTTTCCATTAGGTAAAAATAGGGTTGTGTACCATTAACATCTGGAGAAACTGAGCAACCATTTTATTGAAAGGCAGTATGATGCGGTATGAATGATTTCAGATCACAAAATGCAACTATGTAATCGCTCGGCTCTAATCTGCTAAACACGACTTGAAGACATTAAGATTTTCAAAGCTGCTCTGAAACAGTATTGTGTAAAGCGCTATACTAATGCATTTGACTTGACATTTATTGACTGATATTATAGTGTTGTATGACAGATGCAGTACCTTGTTGAGGCTCCGAGCAGCGCTGTCCTTTCCCCCGGGGGTGAGATTCCTGAGCTGGACGTCCAGCAGGTCGATCAGGTGACCCATGGCCCGGACGGTGTAGGTACACAGCTGATCACAAACAGGAGTTATTATCAACCAACAAACTGCTTAGTTCCAGCTCTCTCTGTTACACTTGCATAAGATAATGTTTAACATAAAAAAAACATGTATTTAAAAAAAAAGATGCAAAATATCAAATCAGTTGATAATTTTTTTTTTTTATCTGGTTCATTTACACCAAACCTCTGAATGAAGTGCTTGAGTAAAGCGATTATTCTGCAGGTGTGTGTTTGTGTTGACGACGGTCAGCAGAACTGAAGGTGTTGGAATAGATGTTAATGTTCATGCAGCTCAAACAGCAGAGCGTGACGATAAACAACACCAAGGTCATCATGGGTTTGAATCCCAGTCAATGCATGGATGACAATATGAATGGGAGTTAGTTAGTTATTAATATCAGCTTTAAAATGGTAAATTTACAGTCAATTCTACCATAAAGATACAAAGTTTGTAGTGTTTTTTTTCTCCATAGTTTAGGTGGAGTAGTGATGCTACTGTACTCCACCAGCACTTATATATATATATATATATTTTTTTTTTTTTACCAGGTAAAACGCTAAAACATGACAGTCAAAAAATAAATAAATAAATAAAACCAGAAATGGACTTTAAGGGTCAGTGCTCCGGCTTTTGTGACTATTATGTGTAGCTTTTTATAATAAACTGAACACCTGTTTATCATTTCTTATGTAAATATCCTTTATTCTTTTTTTTTTTTTAATGCCACAAAAAGCATGAAAAACACATATAAACCATATTCTATCTTAATTGCATATTTATTAGCTTCATGTTTCATCTGTATTAGTCATGTATAGAGACAGAATGCAGAAGTTTACCGTCATCGGAGCTGGAAATTATGATCATGCAACACTGACTGATGGATCTGCAGAGAATCGTCTCTCTGTGAGTCATTAAGAAATTATGATTCTATCTAAAGAAATATGAGGTAAATATGTGAATACATATTTCTCCAAATGTGCGCACTATTAGACTAAACATATGTTTGCATTTTAAGCTATTTCTATGATCAGAAATAAATGGGAGCAAACGCGAGTGAATATGTGCAGTGTCTCGTTAACCTATTGGAAATATCAGTAACTACCAACTGATTTTGCATGAGTTTGCATTCCCGACAGAAATTATTACTGTCATTGTAACCAAGTATTATCATAAATACTGATGGTGGTCAAATATCAAAGTTCCACTGTGGTTTGTTATTTATTTTAAAGCAAAAAAAGGAAAACTTTTCAAAGCATCCACACAAACACACACACACACACACACACACACACACACACACATATATATATATATATATATATATATATATAATATTACATTTAATTTTATTTCAGCTTTATTTCAATGACAGAAAATTATTTGTAATAGTTTTAGTCATGTCCAACAAGAGAAGGTTGCACACATAATGTTCTTAAAAAAATGCTTTATTCAGAGGCCAAAAAGTGCAAAGAAGTGCAATGGCAAAACATTACTGATTCACAAAAAAAAGTGAAAAAAAGTGGAGCATGATCAGTACAAAGGCAATAGGCAAAACGAAAAAGCAAAACATATAGAAAAAAGTGCAAAGAAAAAACATTACAAATCCTAAAAAGTGAAAAAAAGTGCCACAAGCTCAGTGCAAAGGCAAACCAGTACTGATTCACAAAAAAACCTGCAGCACGCTCAGCGTAAAGACAATAGGCAAAAAAAACAAAAAAACTGGTAAACATTTATTTAAAAAGTACAAAGAGAAAACGTTACTGATTCACAAAGAAGTGCAATATGCTCAGTGTAAAGGCAAAACTTCACCAATTCACAAAATAGTGCAAAATAAAAAAAGTGCATCATGCTCAGTGCAAAGGCGAAATGTAATATGAATAAAAGTAATTGGTAATTTTTTATGTGTGCGAGCTTCTCCTGTCGTTGGAATTGTAGGTTATAATTTTTGAGCTGACGAAACAAAGTATTTTCCATTTGCAAACTTCTTCAGCATTTGGTGTGGACATTTCACAACTTTCTTGCCGGTCTTTAATACAAGTTTCAGTTAACAATAACAACACTGGCTTGGACCAATCAAATGACAGCTCCAACTGTTGAATAATTTGTCAAAATGAGGCTAAATGTACATTATCCCATGCATATGTTTGATTGTGTGTTTCCCAAACCTTCTGGTTGATGATGTTGACCCATGTGGAGGTGCAGTTGCTGAGGTCGGGCCCCTGCTGGTCCCAGAGTCCCTCGGGCCCCTGACAGGTGAACACAGCCGTCCCTGCACACAGAAAACAGCCGTTACTGTGTGTTCATATCACACCGCAAACACACACACACACATCAACGTCCTTCACTGCTGCTTCCACAGATGACGAGAAACGCTTTCAAATGTCTGTGATCATAAAAGAATGTGTAATTACTTCCTCTAATGGAGATAAAATCACTGCAGTGTGTGTGTGTGTGTGTGTGTGTGTGTGTGTGTGTGT